CTCCCACACATGGAGTGATTTCAGCTTTTCAAAGCCATCAAGGAGACAGCTCAGGGTTTCTATACTCAAGAAACCCTAAGAACTCCTTATACCCTGTTTCACCTGTTCCCCCAGTTATCCTCTGAGAACCATGGAAGGAGAATGCAGCCAGAGGCTGCTTTGATAAGAACATGGAGGAGATTTTGTTCATGGCTTCCTGGGAGGCTGTTTTACCAAATGTAGTGACCAAAGATCAAAAATTACTACTTTCTTCTCTCTAGTTTAGAGACGAGGTGAGACAAAGACTTGGACCCAGAAAAAAGAATCTCAATCTTTCTCTCCCCATGTCAAATTAGAAGTAACTTCCGCTTCTTGCAGTGAGAATTATAATCCTACTGAAATTAGAGAGGCAAAGCTAGGGTCCTATTACACTGCATTCTATCAGTGATGTGTAGTCCCTGGGGGAACTAGCTGTTTAAGCAGATTTGCATGTCTGGAATTGATGAGTAATTTTTTTCTCTCTCAAGAGGCAACATGACCTGATGGGATGACTGTTGTTTTCTTGATGGTTTCCTTTTGGTCTTGGGGCCTGGGTGGGGCTGGGGTCCTGGAGCTCTGGCTGCAATGGAGGGATGGAGGAGTAACCTCCAAGGTTACAGCAGTAACCCTGAGGGCTTTGAGTCCTAGTTCCAGTTGACCTATGAACCAGCCCATCCTATGGTTACTTGCTCAAGGTAGTACCTTCTCATTGACACTTTATATGTGTCAGAAAGAAAGAGAGCTGGGTTGTGTCCCTGGGGGCGTGAAGACATTACTTCTTCCTAGGCTTCAGTTTTCTCAGCTGTTGAACGGATTTGGAGCAGGTTACAAGTAGGGGACTAGAAAAATCCTGATATTCTCAAAATGTCCCCATTTAATTGATCTAAAAATGAGATTCTCTCTACTGTTGTTGGTTTGGGGATATTCTGTGGAGGCCAGGGAAACTGCGGTTCCTTGCATTCTTTGGGAGGGGACCACAGTGATTATGGGGAATGAGTGTTAACCTGGAAGCCATCAAAGCCTGCTGTGTAGAGACCAGCCTGCTTTCCAGAACCAGGGGCCTCACAGGTGTTACACCTGTATCTAGGAGACATGCCATAAAGGAAAGAGCACAGGCAAAATAGAAATCCTAGCAAGATGAGCATCCAGCCACTAGACTAACCACTGAGACTGTGACCAGGGCACATCCCCAACCTAAGGCTCAGTCTATTTATCAGTTCAGTCACTCAATCGTGTCTGACTCTTTGCAACCCCATGAATCGCAGCACACCAGGCCTCCCTGTCCATCACCAACTCCCAGAGTTTACCCAGACTCATGTCCATCGAGTCAGTGATGCCATCCAGCCAACTCATCCTCTGTCGTCCCCTTCTCCTCCTGCCCCCAAGTCTATTTATAGGGTGATATAAATGTGGTGGACAAACTCTAAGGAGACCCCCATGGTTCACATCTTCTGGAGTTCACACTCTTGTATAATCTCCTCCCTTCAAGAGCAGGTAGGGCTGTGGCTTGTTCCTGACCAACGGAATACAAAAAATGGTGGGATGTCACTCAATCCCATGATGACACTACATAAGCCTGTAACACTTGTCTTGCTAGCAGACTCTCTGTATTGACTGCCTGCCTCACTGGCTCTGATGGAGTAAGCTGCCATATAGAGAGGTCTATAAGGCAAGGAACTGAGGGTGGCCTCTGGCCAGTGGCCTGCAAGGAGTCAAGGACCTCAGTCCAATAATCCTCCAGGAACCATGCACAACCATGTGAGCCTGGAAACTGATACTTCCCCAGTCAAGCTGCAGATGAGACCCCAGCCCTGGCTGCCTCCTGAATGAAAGCCTTGTGAGAGACCCTGAAATGGGAAACCCAGCTAAGCTGCCCCAGCCTCCTGACCCACAGAATCTGTAAGATAACAAATGAGTGCTGTTGTACACCATAAAGTTTGTGGTAATTTGTTATGCAGTAGTAGATCACTAATACTGTGAAGCAGTTGGAATCTTCCTTGCCTGACATCCTATGAGTCTGATAATTATATTCTTCTGCTATCAGCATCACACTGCTCCAACATCTCTCTCTCTCTCACACACACACATACACACACACACACACACACACACACTGTAGGTTGCTGTCCCTGTGCTGGGGTAAGAATAATTTCTCTTCCTAGATCTCCTAGGGTATGTGTTCTATATTTAGATTCTCATTTAATCAGACTTCATTTTCAGGCTTTGTGGTGCTGATTGCAAACACCTTGCTCACATGCACAGACCCACATTCACACACACAGGTCCCACATTACACTGAAGTTAATTAGGGATTAACTTGAAATAAAAGGGCTCCAGCAGGAAAGAGGACTCCCCTGAGACAGAGTCTAAGGACATGTAACATGAGGCATTGGTATTATTATTTGGTAATTGATTCTGAGAGAAAGGATCAAGTAAAAGAATCATCTATGGGTTTTCCAGTAGTCATGTACAGATGTGAGAGCTGAGCACTGAAGAATTGAGGCCTTCAAACTGTGGTGCTGGAGAAGACTCTTGAGAGCTCCTTGGACAGCAAGGAGATCAAACCAGTCAATCCTAAAGGAAATCAATCCTGAACATTCATTGGAAGAACTGATGCTGAAGCCAAAGCTCCAATACTTTGGCGACCTGATGCAAAGAGCTGACTCATCAGAAAAGACCCTGACGCTGGGAAAGGTTGAAGGAAGGAGAAGAAGGGGATGACAGAGGATGAGATGGTTGGATGGCATCACTGACTCAGTAGATATACGTTTGAGCAAACTCCGGGAGATTGTAAAGGACAGGAATGCCTGGCGTGCTGCAGCCCATGACATTGCAAACAGTTGAACACGACTGAGCAACTGAATAACAACAACAAAAAGAATCTGCCAACTCAACCACAAAAAAGAATGAAATAATGCCATTTGCAGCAACAGAGATGGATCAGAGATGATCATACTAGGTGATGTAAGTCAGACAAAGACATTCTATGATATCACTTATATATGGAGTCTAGAAAAATGATACAATTATCCTATTTACAAAAGAGAAGCAGACTCACAGACTTCAAAAACAAAGGGGAAAGGTGAGGGGGGGATAAATTAGAAAGTTGGGGGTGAGCACAGATTCTTTGCCATCGGAGTCACTAGGGAAGCCCCAACATACACACTACTTTGTCTAAAACAGATAACCAACAAGGACCGGCTGTGTAGCATAGGGAACTCAACTCAGTATTCTGTAATAACCTATGTGGCAAAAGAACCTGAAAAGGAAAAGATATATGGATACTAGGCACAGTGTTCCTGCTCAGTCATGTCGACTCTTTGCGACCCTTTGCACTGTGTAGACTGCCAGTCTCCTCTGTCCATGAGATTTCCCAGGCAAGAATACTGGAGTGGGTTACCATTTCCTCCTCCAGGGGATCTTCCCGACCCAGGGATCTTTCAGACCCAGGAATCAAACCCATGTCTCCTCTGTCTCCTGTACTGCAGGCAGATTCTTCACCCTCTGAGTGATCAGGGAAGACAGACAGATGCATATGCATAAGTAAATCTCTTCGCTGTACATCTGAAACTAACACAGCATTGTAAATCAGCTATGAAAATGTTAGTGTCCAACCCTTTACGACCCCATGGACTGTAGCCTGCCAGGCTCCTCTGCCCATGGGATTCTCCAGGCAGTTATACTGGAGTGGGTGGCCATTCCCTTCTTCAGGGGATCTTCCCAACCCAGGGATGGAACCGAGGTCTCCTGCATTGTAGGCAGACTCTTTACCACCTGAGCCACCTAAAATTTTTTAAAAAGAATTAAGCCTGAGGCAGAATTAATCTAGCAGGGGAGCGCCATTTCTATATCTTTTTAAATGGCCACTTGTATTTTAATAGCTGCGAAAGACTCTGGGGTCAGAAAGAGTCAGACATGACTGAGTGACTAACACAAAGACATTAGACTTCTTTTTAGGTAAAGAGAGTGGGAATAGTAAGCTGTGTGTTATTTAACACATTTTGTTCCTTTCTGAGGCTGCTTTTCTGGAGTCTTGACATCCTCTACAAATAAAATCAATGTTATAGATGGCCTCATTTTGGACAGGAATGAAATGAGACCAAAGTTTGACTAGTGTCTAGGGTAATAGCTGTCAGAACATCCCAGAGTGGTGTTGAGGAAATCTGGCCCACACACATCTTCAAGTTTGAGGAGAAGCAAATCTGTGCCTTTACCAGCAGGACTTTTTAGGCCTGGTGGGGAGCCAGACACTCTGTTCCAGGAGAGTTTGGGAGGTGCTACCACTGCAGCTGACTTAGGAAAAAGATGTGACAGGAGCCAGAACAGGTTGAAAATGTCCAGAGGTCAGCACAGGGCTGGGGGGCCAGTGAGCAGTGCTCAGGAAACATTTTTGAATGAATGAATGACAAAGCATTAATTCCTGCCCTTACAAGCCTTACATTTCCCAGGGGTTTCCCCTTAGCACTTCGACTTTGCCACCAAGGGAAAAATAAGATACACCATTGCCCTTCAAGAAACTTACAAGACAGGACAAGACTCAGGAAATGACCATAGAGAGCCCAATAAAGACAAGGGAAGGCCCAGTCCATTGAGGCGGGAGGAATCTAAGGAAATTTCAGGGAATTTCTGGTGATCCCTTCCAAATCACAGCAAAAGGCTGGGTTAGGCAAGGGTTGTGGACACTTCTCGAAGAACCGATTGAAACTTTCAAAGTCCCCTGCTGCTTGTGGCCCTAGCAGAAGGCCCTTGGAGTTCCAGGATGAAGGCAGTTGCTGTCCTAGGGTTCAGTACCCGCAGCCGGGCCAGAAGCGGGGCAGCCTCGGCAGGTCCGGGGCCTCCGCCGAGGCCAGCCCGCGCCCCGCGCTGCTCGAGGCTGACCGGCCCCGACGCGAGAGGGCAGCGCGGAGCCCCGGGCGGGCAGCGCGGAGCCCCAGGCGAGCCTTTGTGCCGCTGGCAGCTGCCTTTGTGCGACGCGGGTTCGCGCGCCCCTCCAGGCGGCCGTCTCTGCAAGGATCGCCCCCGCCGCGCTCCATACCTGGTCCTTTGTCAACAGCTCCCGAAGAATTCAGAAAATCAAATTTATTTCCCGATTACCGCCGGGGCGCCCCTTTGTGCGGTGAGGCCTCTTTAACGGTTGCGATTCCAGCCCACTCTGTGAAGAAGGCCTTTTAAGGAAAGCGCGCCCCGCTGACTCCTGGCCTCCGTGGGGACTCGAGGGCGAGGTCTTCGCGTAATAAAGACGCTAACGAGCCCCAAAACGTGGGCTTGTCAAGTGTCCTTCCTGCTAACGGGGATAAATCAATAGGCCTCTTGAGTTCGGAGGGTGTATTTGCTCGCCCCCCTCCCCCCTTAGGAATGAACGGATAGATGCTGACTCCATGGCTTGCCAGCCCAGCGCTGCCCTCAGCCCGCGGGTAAGTCCAATTTCACCCTGAGTGCTCAGCGCTACCGGCTCCTCGCCACTGCCGGAAGCCACAGGCCAATCTGAAAATTTTCCTCTTCCGCGGGATTCTCAGGTGTCTTAGGCACCTGAAGATAAATGATGGTACCATTATTTTCCCTGATTAGGTTGAGATTTCCTGAAATGAATACAAAATATTGCCTTGCCTTGCCAAGTTTTGTCCACAGTAAGCAGGGGAGTGTGGGTTTTTGTTGTCTGTATTTTTGTGGGGTTTTTTTGGTGCTTGTGTGGGGAAACCAGCTTTCCAGGTGGCTATGGTAAAGAACCCGCCTACCAATGCCGGGAACGTGGGTTCGATCCCTGGGTCAGGAAGATCCCGTGGAGGAGGAGATGGCAACCCACTCCAGTATTCTTACCTGGGGAATCCCACGCACAGAGGAGCCTGGCAGACTATAGTCCATAGGGTTGCAAGGAGTTGGACATGACTGAGCACATGAACACATGTGGAAATAAATGTTTATTTTAAAGAAAACCAATTTTTTAAAAGGTAATGTAGAGTAGACCCATGCTGACAATGTATAGCATCTCCACTCTTTTTGTAGTAGTAGTAGTGTTAGTTACCCAGTTGTGTCCAACTCTTTATGACCCTATGGACTGTAGTCCGCCAGGCTCCTCTGTCCATGGGATTCTCCAGCCAAGAATACTAGAGTGGATTGACATTCCCTTCTCCAGAGGATCTTCCTGACCCAGGGATCGAACCCGAGTCTCCTGAATTGCAGACAAATTCTTTACCGTCTGAGCTACAGGGAAGATCTTTTTGTCCACTCATAAATTAATGTGTAGGAGAAATAGATGCACAGATCCACCAACCTATCAGCATCCTTCCAATAATACCCTGAAATGAAAAGTTACAAAGACCATCATAATTCACACATTCATAAATAATATTTAGTGTTATAATTTGAATTATATAGTCATGAAGCAAAGGCATCCATAATAGGAGAACTTGATCCACTGATTTTAAATTATACGTGTTCTAAATCTTTTGCAAACACTAAAAAAAAAAAGAGTCATGATATACAGCACTGAGCAGGAGTCTTTTTTCTCCTTTACCTCTTGTTTTTTGTATCGTGAGAATTTGGAGATGCCACTCAGTTGCTCTGTGACTAAAGGAAGCGAATATAAATCAATGCCACATTTGCTAACAAACAGCATTCCTCTCTTTATCTACATCTGTGCGTCTTCTCTCTCTCACACACACCCCCCACAAGAGCTTGGCTCACTCAGCTTCCCCGTAATTTCACAAAAGAGTGACTCTAATGTTTTCTGCTTCGTAGGGAGCCAGTGGTCATGGCGGTGAATTGGATACCTACACCAGAGAAGGCCTGAGCGGCGTAATCAAATAAGGGAGCCACTTGAACTGAACTCCCAGCAGGAGCAGGAGGGAGGCCTGGAGAGGTTACAGGTACTTTTTATCTAGCCTCACAGGAGAGAACCAACTTCCTGCTGCTAGAAATTTGTCTGCAAATTTTTTCCTCATTCAGACAGAGAGCTGGGGTCCAGGAGACAACTGGGTTGATATGATAACTTGATTAAGGCCGGGACAGATGACATGGTAGCACCAAGTCGGCTCAAAAGAATCTGTGCTCTCCTCTTTAACCTCTCCTTGGGAGCCTACAAATTATATCTATTAATGTATCAGCCCCCTGGCATCACACAAATACATCATCCCCTTAAATGTATGTCAATCATTCACAGGAGCCTTCGTGGAATACCCACCATGTTTTCATTTCTCTCTCTCTTAAAAAAAAAAAAAAGTTTAACCTGTTAGGTTGCTCAGACAAAGGGTTGTAGCCTGCCACCTCTTGCTGCACTCACTTGGGAGGTAGGAGTCGTGTTGTCAGCCCAAGTGTTCAGAGAATCGTTTAAATGGGCCCCAGGCAGCTGGATAGGATCCAGGGGAGAGACTCTCGGAGGAGGAAGGATTTGGAAACCATGTTCAGTGAAGCATGAATGGAAAAAAACTGAGGATTAGACTGGAGAAGAGAAAATGCGGAGAGAACTTGAGATCTAAAGAAATACTAAACGGAAGGAGGCTGGGTGTCTTGCATGGGCCCCGGGAGAGCCCAGGGAGAGACAGGCAGTCAGGGAGAGCCAGCAGAGTGCCTGGATGAGAAATGGGCCACGTGCTGCGGCTGCCCTGGGCGGATGTGAAGAAATCTGCAGGCAGTGTGGCCACAGTCACAGGAACCACAGTTCCCTTTCCAGTGTCTGAGCCAGGAGACAGCCAGCCACTGAAAGGCTGAGAAGCTTCAGTTCCAAATACTGCTGAACTGAGGGTTAATTTACCATCCATACAACATACAGATCTTTTAAGTGTACAGTTCAATGAGTTTTCATAAATGGAACCTATGTAACCACCAGCCCAGTCAAGACAGAGACCATAACGAAACCCTAGAGAAAGGTTTCTCTGCCCTCTTTCCAGTGAAAATTTCCCACTCCCCCCACCCCCGGCAATCACTGTTCAGATTTCTCTCACCCTAAATCCATTTTGTCTGTCTTGTCTGCATTTAAATAGAATCAGTCAGTATGGACTCTTTTTTCTCTGGTTTCTTTTTCTTTATGTGCTTTTAGGACCCATCCTTGTAGTTTGTCCTTTTTATTGTGAAATAGTTTTTCCAATAAGGATAAAACACCTCATGTTTGCCTGCTCTCCTGCTGATGGACTTTGGAGTGTTTCCAGTTTGCGGTTATTATTAATGCAGCTGCTACTAGCAGCCTCTCACAATTTTTTGTTGCTGGCTCAAAGGGTATATTCTAAATGTCATTTTGAACAGGACTGCAAAGCAGGGAAAAGCCCGAAACCATAAGGTGTGGTCTTAGTCAAGGCAGGAAGAGTTTCTGGGACTTGACAGTTTCTGGTTTGCACGTCTTCCCCAGAAAACACAAGTTGTACCCCTGTTCTTCCCACTGGTGGGCAGCAGGCTCCACCAGGACTGATCTCTGCAACCTGGGGCCCTTCCTGAGAATATCTATCTCAGCCAAATGGTTTTTAGGTATCATTTAGGTCCCCTTGAAATGTTGAAATTCACATCTGCTGAGCTCCTGCCATGTGTCAGGCCTTGTGGGTGCACTGGGGGCTATGGGAAGAGAGTGAGAAATCTCATGAGCCTGTCTTTAACCTGCTTGCAGTCTACAAGGAGAATTAAGTGAGGTGTAAATTATGACCCCTAATTCAGTGTTCAACAAACATTCACAGGTCAACTGCTATGCTGCTGTGAACTGGGGACAAGTGTTGAGAGCCCGCATCTGCTGTGGCACCTTGAGACAGGAACCCTGTTCACACTGGATGAGCCCGTGCCTATGCATGTCTTCTTTCAGGTGGTCCTGGAGGTGACACTGGCAGTGATGAGCCCATGGCTATGCATGTCTTCTTTCAGATGGTCCTGGAGGTGACACTGGCAGTGATGAGCCCATGTCTATGCATGTCTTCTTTCAGGTGGTCCTGGAGGTGACACTGGCAGTGATGAGCCCATGACTATGCATGTCTTCTTTCAGGTGGTCCTGGAGGTGACACTGGCAGTGAGACTTTGAAGAGCATGTCAAAACCATCAAAGCACAGAATGTTGGTGCCGGATGGCGCTTTCAAGTTCATGGTCCACTCCATCCCAAAGACAGATGGGAAAACCGAAGCCCATGCCAAGAGAAGTTCCTTCCCCAAGACCACAGGCAGAAATGTTTGCCCTCCTAGTACGACCATTATTCTGCTGTATCAGTCTGCCATTTACAACAAAGTCCTCGTTATATGACAGAGAACTATTTATAATGCTAGTATTGAAGGATATGATTAGCATGTTTGCTGTGGGTTGATCTGTCAGACTTGGCCTGGGAGCAGCTGTTACATTTAGAGAAACAAGTTTGAATCCAGAAGTCATCCAAACTCTGTGATAAAAACAGTAGACCATGTCATGCTAGGATCCTATGTGATTAGGGCTGATTTGTCCTCTGTACTAAGTTTTTATTTTAACTCATTGTTGGGCTTTTGGTTTATTTCCTTGTCACTTTTTCTATACATAGGTTTGACAGCTGTGTAATCATAGAATACTATATCAACTACTTTATATTTTGTTTTGGGGAGGGGGGTTTGAGTAAAACCTTCTTGCTTTGGCCAAACCACTCTTGCCTTTAAAAACATTGATATATATTGCATGACTACAAAAGGAAAAAAAAAGTAATTGTGACCATATTGAAGTTCCATACTCTTTTCCAAACAGTTGTTAACAGATTTATGTCAAAGAAAAAATGAAATGAATTTGGATATATGCAAAATTGGCAGGGATTCATTCAGAATTAATTTGCAAATCGTAGGGGACAAAGATACCACTATTCACGATTCCTACTTTGTGGTTTTTAAATAATACTAAAAGGTATAAAGTACTTTATCCATACACACACTTTACAGTTTTCAAATTATCTTTTTATCCATTATTTTACTGGAACCCCTGACCAATGAGCAAAGCATATGTTATCTCCATTTTGCAGATTAAGAAAACAGCCTCAATATCTCATAATAACCTATAAAGGAAAAGAATCTATATGTGTGTGTGTGTAGCTGAATCATTTTGCTGTACACTTGAAACTAACACAACATTGTAAATTAACTATACCTCACTAAAAAGATAGAAAGAGGGAGAAAGAGAGGAAAAAAGGAGGGAAGGAAGAAAACAGTTACTTATCCATGTTCACATAGGGAATACATCCATGTGGCCCCCACCACAACACCTTCCACCCACAGAGCAACAGAGCACATGCCTAGCCCCACACCACACCCAAATAAAACAGAAGGCTCCACACCATTAACAGAGCAGTTCTCTTTGAGTGAATCATGAGATCTGTGATCACGGAGCATGTTTTTTAAACATCTAACATTTACTTTCTGTAGGTCTTCTGTCAGAAATAGAACTGGCAACAAAATCTGTAGGACCCTGTGCAAAATGGAAGTAGGGAGCCCCTTGTTTGAAAAGTAGGAAAAGGTGCCATTGAAGGCCTGAAATATAAAGTTCTTCCTTTCTTCTGTGGTCTCACTTTCAACTTCTCGTGGTGATTTTGATCTTCTATTTACTGCCATTCTAAGTAAAGCAAAATGAAATTTTTAAATGATTAACATGAGCTATACCATTCAGCTTTAGACTGTACAAGGCCACTTTTGAATGCAAATACAAGAGCATTTAACTCCTATGCAGAATCACCAAAATTATAGAATTTTGATCTTATATCCCACATGTACATATGTTTTTTGTTCTTACCAGAACAGCGGAAGTGCTGCTCAAAACTAACTCAACTGTTTTTTATTTTACTTCTTAATTCACACCCGTTCCCCCAGTGCACTCTGTCTTAGGTTTACTGAGGAGGCTGCTGAAAGGACTAGCCACTCTGCGTCCTCCTCTCTCTCCCTTTCCTTCTTTCATCATTTTCAGTGTAAATAACTGGTCAATAGGGAGAAGTCCCACGAGTCAAAAAGGATAGGACGGGGTCATCTGTCAGTCATGTTTCTTAGAACATCTGTGTCTTCTTTCTGCATTCTGCCATTCTGGTTTGAGCAGAAAGCATGCGCCTCTTGGGGCCACCAGCGCCCCACTTACTCGGCTGCAGATACAGCGCACTTTGAGTGTCACTGAACTTCCATGACTGTGGGCCCCCTTGGGGGACTCTGTGCTCCTGGGGCTCGGGAGGGAGCATTGTCTGTGGGCACAGCAAGCAAGGAATTGCAGTGGACAAGCACATTGCATGCCTCTTCCTTGCTCCATCATCTCATTGGACCTCACTTTACAAAACAGAAGATGAAATCATTCAGCCTGTCGACACAGTGGTAGCAGAGCGTGGAACCAGGCACTGGGCCCTTCTGTGCACAGCGCCCTGTACACCGGCACAGGTCACACGCCTATGAAGCTGGCCCTGGTCGGAAGTCAGAGTCAACTTCTATGCTTGGTAGTCGAGAGGCCTAGAGGGTGAAGATACGTTTCTTGGGCCTGAACTATAGCCACACTTCTGGACGAGTTCCAGGGTGGACCCCCTTTCTTACAACACACTCCACTGATGAGGCTCAGAGAAGTGCCATCCTATAGAGAAGATGGGATATCCAGGGCTGCTCCACTGGACAGCCATGTGCCTGCCGCTGAGTGGCCTGGGAGAAGGAATGGAGTGGGGGCATGTACAAATCATTTGGGCATGACTAAGATACAGTTGGTGACTCAGCAGAGGTTAAAGCATCTGCCTGCAATGTGGGAGAACTGGGTTCGATCCCTGGGTCGGGAAGATCCCTTGGAGAAGGAAATGGCAACCCACTCCAGTATTCTTGCCTGGAGAATCCCATGGACAGAGGAGCCTGGTGGGTCCACGGGGTCACAAAGAGTCGGACACAACTGAGCGACTTCACTTTCAAGATATAGTTATAGGAGAAATCTTGTCCAGAAAATGCTATCATGCCCAGAAATTAAGCTGGAAATCCAAAAATGTAACCATAATCCAGTGGTGGCCTTCTTTCTCCAAAAAACACCATTTTTAAGCAACTCATCACTGAAGATATTTCTCTGGCACACACATCTGCATGACTTCCCATGCAGGATCATTAGTGATAGGGTGGAAAATGCCAGAGAGACCCAAGCTCCGGTCAAAGCTCTGGTTCTTCCTTGATGTGTGATTCTGAGCCAGCCACCTAACTTCTCTGCACCTCAGTTCTCTTGGTTGTAAAATGAGAACAACAATTCCTCATCCAGTGGTAGGTGCTTGTGAGAATTAAACTAGACAATGGACATAAAATGGGGCGTAAGTGGAAATCACTGCATACATGTGAAGCCACATTAGTATCCCATGTATAAACGGTGTGTATCACATACAGACCCCATCAGGAAATTTCACTCTGGGGCAGAGTGATTTACAAAGCCTGTTCAGAAGTGGAGTCAATTAAGGTCAGCTTTCTATGTTGCTAAACAACAGGGGATTCTGGGTTCAGTAACGTTGAAAGGCAGGCCCAACACACCCCTTGAAACCGGGCTTTTGAGAGGGTTCAAAGGAATGCAAAACAAAAGCCGCTCTTTGTGATGTGTTCACTCTTCCTTCATTGTCCCCTTTTACCCTCCAAGGGCCTTCATGTAAAGAAAGGGGCTGCTAATGTGGCGAGTGGGAGTTGAAAATCGTCCTGGGCCAACAATGTTGGCACATTCTGCCCAGCCTCATTACAGAATCATCTGAAATGCTTGAGAAGTGTTTCCCACTCATTAGCATAAATAGCAGAAAAACTCTTTCACAAACAAAGCAGGTTCCATCTGCCCCCAGTATGTCCTCACCTTGACTTCAAATGGCCAGTCCCTCCCCCAGCACAATACCAGGGGCACCGGCCTCCGAGGCCCCAAGCACCCCACTTCAGAACGGCATTCAGTGAAATATCAACACGGTAACCTGCATGTTTATTCATTGGCCGCCCCCTCCTTTTAATGGAGTCCCTTCCCCATTGTGGCCACTTGATGCTTTCACAGACCTAAAGGGAGAGGCTTCCTTTCCAAGCTCTTGGGATCCTTAGCAACCCACACCTTGTGAGTGGGTTGACCAGGCTAATTCGGTTTGTTCTGCCTTTGCGGCCCCAGCGTATTTTGTCAGGTATTCTGCTGTGGGATTAAAGAGTCATTAATCACTCTGACCTGACTCTGACAAGGTGGCTTTTGCAATGAAGTCCACTTCCCTGGTGCTGGCCAGAGACAAGGCCAGAGCTGTCTTGCATTAACTGTGGAAGAATGCACTGGCTCCTCCCCAGTCAACCTCTGAACACCTTCCACAGCCCCAGTCCTGCAGGAGCTGGTGCCAGGGCCAGCAGTGGCATCCATCTGTAGGCAATCGGAGCTCACAACCGCTGGGTGGAATCAGTTCTAGAAGGATGGGATTATAGCATGACTAAGTTGGAGTGACTATAGGGACCTGAGTTGCCATCCACATAGCCCCATGTTTTGCTAAAGAAAGCACTGAGGCTCAGAGCGGGGAGGGGATTGCCAAAGGGTACACAACAAGTCACGTGGAAAGTCAAGATTAGAATGGGCATCTCTCCATCCTAGAATCCAAATCCAATCGGTGGCTTTTTATAACCATTTTCAACACTGCTGATACTATCGTGTTGGGCAATTCAGATTGCCCTGAGATCTTAAGAAAGAAGGAAGTCATTTTCATTCACCAATTGCTGCAAAAGTCTAGGCACTGAGCTAGGTATTTTGCATACATTTAATTTAATTTAAATGTCATTTTGATGGGCTGGCAAGTGAAAGTGCTCAGCAATTATTAGCTGTCATTCAATACCACTATTTTCCTAATTAAGCATTATCATCCCTATTTTTTATAGATGGAAAAAACAGAGACACAGAAAGTTTAGGTAATTCATTCATAGCTTATATTCTTTCCCCTGTGGCTTTAGAAAAGATGAAAAGAGTTCCCTATATCCAGGTGTTCTTGTGAACTTTCATTATTACTTATGTAAATCATAAATTAAAAGTTTAGATCAGTCATTTAACATCAGGTTATCAGGATTTATTATTTTCCCTTTTATCTCTTAGATATGTGATAACTTTTTCTCTGGGCTTCCCTGGTGGCTCAGTGGTAAAGAATCCGCCTGCTAATGCAGGAGACTCGGGTTCGATCCCTGAGTCGGGAAGATTCCCCGGAGAAGGAAATGGCAACCCACTGCAGTATTCTTGCCTGGAAAATCCCATGCACAGAGGAGCCTGGTGTGCCGTGGGGTCACAAAAAGAGTCAGACACAACTTAGTGACTAAACAACACCTTTTTCTCTCCTGATGCTTTCCTGTCTTTCTGTCTTCCTCTATTCTTTCATCAATTTAACAAACATTTACTGAGCACCTATGATGCCAAGTGCTGGGGACGCTGAGATTAAAAACACATGGCTGCAGGCCCTCTTTCTCACAAAGTTACTGAAATGAGCTTCTCATAAATTCAAGAGTAAATGAAGAAAGAGGTAGACATGAATGGGGGATGCCAGAGCTCCAACCTGGAAAGGAAGGAACCCCAGGGTGCTAACCCTAAGCCACCCACACCACTGTAGGACAGAACTCCAGGAGGGGGTTTGCACAGAGGGGAGTTTGATAGAAGACTTGATTGTTCAAA